GGTGCAGGAGGCGCTGGACCGTGCAGCCACCGGCCGCACCGTGCTGCTCATCGCCCACCGCCTGAGCACCATCCGGGGCGCGCAGCTCATCGCCGTGCTGGCCCGGGGCCGCGTGGCTGAGGTGAGCCCGCAGGGCGGGGACGGCTGGGCACCCTCCGGCCGTGACACCCTCCGGCCGTGACACCCTCCGGCCGTGACACCCTCCGGCCGTGACACCCCGCTGTCTCCACAGGCAGGGACTCACGAGGAGCTGCTGCGACGGGGAGGTCTCTACGCCGAGCTCATCCGACAGCAGACTAAGGAGGGGTCCCCCCGCTCCCCCCAATAAACCAGGGCTGGGTTTATTAACCAGGGGGTTGTTTAATTAATCAGGGGGGCTGCTCTTTGTAGCGGGACGTTGCGAAGGGTCCTCCGGGCCGCTCGAGGGCGCCCTTGGCACTGAGGAGGGGGCGGGGTGCCGGGCGGGGCCATGAGTGACGTGTGTTTATGGGCGTGTCCAGCTATGCTGACCACGCCCCCTCCTGGCCGCGCGGGGCTGGGGGTCCCCTCTGTCACCCCCTGAGTCACCCCCTGTGTCACCCCCTGCTTGGTGTGAGCCCCCTCCCGAGGTGCGGGACCCCTGTGTGGCCCTGCTCGGGTGAGGGGTCCGTGTGTGACCCTCGGGTGTCCCGTGTGTCACCCGTGCAGTGAGGGACCCCTGTCACTGCCCAGCGGGGAAACGCTGCGACACCCCCGGGGACTGGAGGGGGTGAACCCTTACGTGACCTTGGGATGGGGGACCCCTGAATTCCCCCCTCCCCGGGCTGGAGGAGCCCTTGCGTGATTTCTGTGACTGGGGACCCCGATATTTCCCTCGGGGCAGGGGGGGCTCATGTGTCACTTCCGGAGGGGAGGAGCCCCTGGGTGACCTCTGGGATGGGGAGACCCCCGTGTGACCCCCCGTAAGGGGGGATCGCTTGTGTCACCCTGCAGGGTGGGGGCCCCTCTATCACCCCTGCAGTGGAGGAACCCTGTGGCATCTTTCTGGACCCTCTGCGTGACCCCGGGATGCGGGACCCCTGCCATGGGAGTTACCCTTCGTAGCACCACGGGACGGACTATCCCCTGTGCTGCCCCTCAAGGCTGGGGACCCTCGTGTCAACCCCCAGGTCGGGGGAACCTCTGTGTGACCCCTTGGGTAGGATTAGCCCTGCATGACTCTCCCGGCGTGGGGGGTGTCCCATGGGTCAGCCTTTGAATGGGAGACCCCTGTGTCACCCCCGGAGTCCGGGGGGACCCTGTGACATCTTTCTGGGATTAAGGCTCCACTGCATCACTTTCCGGGGTGGAGGGACCCCTGTGTGACCCCGGGATGGGGGGACCTCTGTGACCCCCGAGGTGGGTTCCCCTGGGCTGCCCGATGTAGGGGCGCTCTCTGCTGCCCCCCCTTCCCCGGGGGTCTCGGCCCCCCCGTACCCCAAAGCCGCGGCCGCCGGCGGGGGCGGCGGGTGGAGCCGAGCGGGAGGGGCGGGGGCGGTGGCGGCGGGGGACGGCGGGGACCGGCGGCGGCTGCGCCGCGGCGGGAGCGGAGCCGGGAGCGGGACCGGGGCTGGGATCGGGGCTGGGACTAGACCCGGGACCGGGATCAGGAGGGGGACCGAGGCTGGAATCGGGACCGGATCCGGGACCAGGGCTCGAACCGGGACCGGGATCGGAACCGAGACCGCGACCGGGGCTGAGGCTGGGGCTGGAACCGGGACGGGGGCTGCGCTGCGCTGCCCGCGGCTCCGCGGCACCGCTCGGGCAGCGTCGGCACCGGCAGCGTGAAGGACCTGGGGGAGCGAAGCGGCCGGTCCTGCCCTCCCATCTCTTGCCTTCCTCCCCTCTGCCCACCCTCCTCCCCCCGCTCCCTCCCCGCCAGCTGCGCCCGGAGCCCGGTGCGGCGATGGGCTGAGGGTGCGGGGCACCGCGGGGCCCCGGCGGCAACAGGATGAGGAGGGGCTCGGAGGGCAGCGGGGAGGGCGAGGGGCTCTCGAGCCTGCGGGCGTTCGCCCACAGCTCCTCGCTGCACGGCATCAGCCACGTCTTCGCCTACGGGGCCGTGTCCCTGCGCCGCGTGCTCTGGGGTGGCTTTTTCCTGGGCTCGCTAGGGCTGCTGCTGCTCGTGTGCGCCGAGCGCGTCGCCTACTTCCTCACCTACCCCCACGTTACCAAGCTGGACGAGGTGGCTGCCCGCAACCTCACCTTCCCGGCCATCACCATCTGCAACCTCAACGAGTTCCGCTTCTCCAAAATCACCCGCAACGACATGTACCACGTGGGCGAGCTGCTGGCGCTGCTCAACGAGCGCTACGAGATCAGCAACCCGCAGCTGGCTGAGCCCCACGTCCTGGCCGCGCTGCGCGACAAGGCCAACTTCAAGAACTTCAAGGCGAAGCCCTTCAGCATGGCCGAGTTCTACAACCGCACGGGCCACGACCTGGCTGACATGCTGCTGCAGTGCTCCTTCAGAGGCACCGGCTGCACTGCCCGCAACTTCACCGTGGTGAGTGCCCAGAGGGTGGGGAGGGGACCCCGGAGGATGCCCTGGGGCTGCCGGGGGATGTGGGGGTCCTGCTGAGCTCAGACACCGGCAGGTGATCCCCCTCTCTCATCTCAGCCCCTGCCCACCCTGCTGGGGACAGCAGCTGCCAGGCAGGGGTGCCCCGGCCCTGGGTGCTGCAGGGGTGCCAGCTGGCTGCCAACAGCGCCTGGGATGGAGCGGGGCTGTGCTGGGGACTCTGTGCTGCCCGGGGGTCCCGATGGCATGCAGGCATTGGGCAGGGGTGGTGGTGGGCACAGGGTGCTCAGGATTATGGGGTGCCCACGGGTGAGCCCCCACCAGCTGTGCCAGCCTCAGGTGCCACTGGGCACCGCCAGCAGCAGCCACTGCCCTGACTGTTGGCACAGAGGCTCCCGTGGGAAGTTCTTCCATGCCTGGCATGGGTGGGGGTCCCCGTGCCAGCCCTGATGTGACCCCCAGGACCCCCCACTGCTGCTCCACACACCCTTCACCTCTACCTCCAGCAGCTTGGTTCCTGCACACCCCAGTGCAGCCCCCAGAATAGGGCAGGGACAGTGGTACAGGCAGGGATGATGACACTTGTGTGACAAGCAGGGACACTGGGAGAGGCAGGTATGGTGGCACAGACAGGATGGGCAGGGATAGTGGCACAGGCAGGGTGGACAGGGACGGTGGCATGGGCAGGACAGGCAGGGACATTGGCACAGGCGGTGATGGCGGCATGGGCAGCACAGACACTTCCCTCCTGCCACAGCAGCACCAGGCAGCAGCGTGGGCGCTGGGCAGCTCACGTCTGCCATGCCAGCTCTGCCCAGTCCACATCCCTGCCCCCAGCAATTACTGTCACCTTAATGCTTTTAGAGCACTAATTAATTCATCACACAGCTTAGGGACGAGCTGCCTTTTGACAGGTCTGCCCCCCATGCTGCCTGTGCCCCCCACGCTCCCTCTGTTCCCCCCGTGCCCCTGTGCCCATGGCCAGAGCTGCTCTGCCAGTGTCCCCATAGCGTGGCCAGGCAGTGGTGATGGCCCCTGGGTTTGAGGGCTGGGACATGTGGCAGGAGGGCTGAGGATCCCCAGGGCAGAACTTGGGGTGGGTGGCAGGTGCCTGGTTAAGCAGCAGGGTCCTGGCTCTGCCCCCCAAATTGCCACACTCAGCCAACCTTAGTCCTGGCTCGGGATCCTCTGCCCTGGGCCACGGTGCTGAGCTCTGGCATTGTGTCCCTGCACCTTATCCCAGCCCAGGCCCCAGTGTCCCTGAGGTTCCTGGACATGTGGTGAGGGCCCAAGGGCCATCAGGACGAGCTGTGTCTCCTCTCACGTCCCCCAAGGCCAGATGGATGGGGCAGGATGAGGGTGTGGGGACAGGGGATCTTTGGGGAGCAGGGCTGGGGGTCCCCAGAGTGCAGGGTTGGGGGTCCCTGTGTGACCCTGAGTGTGGGGTGCAGGAAGACTGGCAGTGCTGGGGCTGTGTCCCCATCGCTGTCCCCACCCATGCCCCCCCCAGCATCCCCGTGCCGGGCAGCCGTTGCCATGACACCCGCCCCCCCCTTTCCTCCTTGGGCACCGCATTGCCATGGCAACGGGTCCCCACTTTGGGAGCAGCTGGTTGCCACAGCAACGCCCCCTCCACTCCCCCCCGTGGGACATAACCCCCGGGTGGGGGCACCCATAGCAGAGAGGGCCATGACGCCATGGGACTGTGTGGCAGGAGTTGGGGGGCCGTGGGACCAGTCTGGGGGCTCAGGGTCACCCCAGGGTCCCTGGCTGTGGCTACTGATCCCTGGGAATTCAAGGTCACCCCAGGGTTCCTGGTTGGGGATGTGGGTCCCTGGGGTGACTGGCCCAGGACAGGCTCTCAGGTCCTGGGGGGCACATGGTGGCCTCTGCTGGTGTGACAAAGGAGTCCTGGACCCCACCACCGTTCTGGCTTGTGCTCTCCCATCTCAAGTGTCCCCACATGTTCCCTGGAACCGTGACGAAACCCAATATCCCTGCAGAGCCGTGGCAGCACAGGCGCGGGCACCGCCAACGTCCCCGCCTTCTCCTGGGGGCACTGGCATCCTACCCCAGGACACTGGGACCCCATCCTGCGTCCTGGAGGGCGTTGGGATTCCATCCTGGGGCACCGGGATTCTGCTCTGGGGGTACTGGGGTCCACTAGCACATGTGAGGCGCTAGAATCCCCATTGCCACGACCCGGGGGTGTCCTTGTGTCCCCACAGTGGCACTGAATGCCCCATCCCCACGGCCACGTGGGGTCCCTGCCGTGGCAGTGGGAGCCCTGTCCCCACATCCCGTGTGTGCCCCGTGTCCCTGCAGATCTTCACACGCCTGGGCAAGTGCTACACGTTCAACCCAGGCGGGCCAGGGCGCGAGGTGCTGACCACGCTGCAGGGCGGCTCCGGCAACGGCCTCGAGCTCATGCTCAACGTGCAGCAGGAGGAGTATCTGCCCGTCTGGGGGGACACAGGTGAGACCCTGCCCGTCTGGGGGGACACAGGTGAGACCCTGCCCCTCCGGGGGCCATGGGGGAGAGCACTGGGCTCCCAGGTGAGCACTTGTCCTTCTGGGGAGACACAGGTGAGCACACGCCCATCTGGGGGGACTTGGGTGAGATCTCCTGCCCTTCACCTGACCCCGCTCCCCTGCTCTGCAGATGAGACCTCGTTTGAGGTGGGGGTGAAGGTGCAGATCCACAGCCAGGACGAGCCGCCCTTCATTGATCAGTTGGGCTTCGGCGTTGCCCCTGGCTTCCAGACCTTCGTCTCCTGCCAGCAGCAGCGGGTAT